TCAACCCGCTTCATTTCTCAAACAGGAGAACTAAGATTAATAGTTGAACTAATTTACATGAAAAATGACAAAAAAATATTTACAGTGCCTAGAAAAGTTAACCAAAAATTGCAAAAAAATCACAAATTTTCAAATATTCACCAGAGAAACACCCTTAGATCGTACCATGCTATACTTAACACAATAACATATAAGACCTTAATAATAGGAAGATTTGAGACATCTAGTCATTGCTGACCACAATTAGCCACAAAAAAATGCACGAAAATGACAAAACTAAAATAAAAACACTTAAAATGAATGGTACCGCTATACTATACTCTCCCCCTCCCCTCACACCTAAATTTATATTGTCCCCAATATAAGCAATAAAGAACAAAAGAATCGAAAAAGGATGACAAAATTCCCTGATCAACGAGAAGGGCATTGTAGCTATGGGTAAGGAGCAAAAGGAGGAGTACAACGGACGCAATGGTTGTAGCACTAACCACAACTGGCAAAGGAAAGTAGTGGCGATGATGTCCAAACTCAATGACACTTTCTGAATGGCAACGGCAAGGAGTTAATCGTCTGGAATACAAGAGGTAGAGAAAAAGAATAAAAAGAAAGAAAGAGATGAAGGAAAAAGAAAGAAAAGAAAAGAAGGAGAATAATTAGGTTTTGGATTTTTTTTTACACCCCCTTGCTAGAACAAGATACGGGCACATCTTATTCTTCTATAGTCTTTTGATCGTGGAGTTGAAATTTGCATGAGGTTCAGCATGACCTCAAGACATGGGCACGTCTTGTCGCATTATTGTCTTCTGAAATTTTTGAAATTGAAATATGAGTTTGCCAATCAGTTAGGTATGGGCATGTCTTGTTGGGTGGCAGTCTTCTAACCATTAAAATATCAAAATGAAAATTAAACACACAAAATGCAAGAAACCTAAGATAAAATACTAAAAAATAATAAAAATGAACTTAAAAATTGAATTGGGTTGCCTCCCAATAAGCATCTTTCTTTAACGTCTTTGGCTAGACATAAAGCATTATTTCTCAATCCAGTTGTAATTCAAAATTTTTTGCAATTGATGGAATTTTTTCAGGATATAAATCACCATTGCATACAACTACTTTCTTTAACTTTTTGTCCATTTTCACAGCATAAGTTGTTTTCACGTGATGTTTGGTCGCAGCAACATTCAACTTATCCCTGCAATTAAACTTAGAAAATTCTCGCATAGAGAAATTAATAGCATGAAGGCAAACATAAAATGAGCGCTAATAAGATGTTTCATTACATCGAAAATATTAAAATGAACTACTTCTCCATCAAATTTCATCGTAAGAGTACCCTTACTAATATCAATCTTAGTTTGGGTAGTACTCAAGAAGGGTCTCTTTAATATAATAGCTAATGGATTTGGAGAGCTTTTATCACACATGTAAAGCACATAAAAATCAGCAAGAAAAACTAATCCATCTACTTGTACTAAAACATTCCTGATCGCCCCATTTGAATAAACAAATATATGATCAGCTAATTGAATTATTATCTCTATTTCTTTCAAAGGTCCTAGATTTAGGGAATCATAAATAAATTTAGGCATCACATTAATAGAAACACTTAAATCTAAAATGTCATTTTTAATTCTAGAATGTCCAATCGTACAGGAGATAGTAAATATACATGGATCCACACATTTAGGTGGTAGTTTTCTTTGTAAAATTGTTGAGACATTCTCACCTGTCACGATTTACTCATCCCCTCTCAATTTCTTCTTGTTAACGCACAAGTTTTTCAAGAATTTTGTGTATTTTGGCACTTGTTTGATCGCGTCTAACAAAGGGATATTGATTGCCATTTCCTGAAAAACCTCTACAATCTCTTTCTCTTTGTTTTGTTTCTTCGATTTCTCTAGCCTGGTAGGAAAAGGAACCGGATTAGATTTAACTTGAATCACAGGAAAGGGAATTACCTTGGGAGTTGTCTTGCTTACTCCTTCTTCTAACTCCTTCTCAATTTGATCTTCACTCTTATCTTTAGGAACTATAGGTTTTGATCATTCAATTTTCTTTCCACTTATGAGAGTTATGGCGCTAATGTTCTTCAGATTTACCTCCGTCAGAGAAGAAAATCTTCCTTTCTCTTGAGACTCCAGGCAATTTATTGTAGAGGCGATCTGACTCATCTGATTTTCTATATTTCGTATACTCACATCCATCTTTTGTTGGAACTGCAAAGTATTCTGCTGGAGTTGCATGGTGTTAGAAACTAATGTCTTGGTCATATTCTCAAGAGATGTTTTCGAATTAGGCGAAGAAGGTTGAGGTCTTGATGGGTACTGGGGCTGAAACCCTTGCTATCAATTGGCGAAGAAATTTTATTTATTCCCCCTATGACTGAAATTTGGATGGTCCCTCCAACCTAGATTATACATGTTGGAATAAGAGTCGTACTGTCTGCGTGGCACACGCATGTTGCCAGTTATGTTTACTTGTTCAGCATCATCATCCTGTAGCATCGAACATCCATTAGTAGGATGGCTAGCATCCTTGCAAATTCTGCATGCCTTGAATTGTTGCACGTTCCCTACTGCCATCTTCCGAACCATAGATGTTAACTTAGTCAATTGCTCTTGCAGTGATAAAATGTTCACCTCGTTCACACAACGAGTTGGAATATCCTCTCTAGTGCCAAACTGTCAGGAATTTTCAGCCATCCCTTCAATTAACTCCCATGTTTCTCAAGGGGTTTTATTTGCTAAAGCACCTCTGCTTGTAGCATCGATGATGCTTCTGTCTCTATAAAGTAGACCTTTATAAAAGCACTGGATGAGAAGTTGCTCACTTATTTATTGTTGAAGGCAACTGGTAAATAACTTCTTGAATCTCTCCCAATAGTCATAGAGAGACTCCCCGAGACTCTACTTAATACCACAGATTTCATACTGCAGATTGGCAGTTCAAGATGCAGGAAAGTATTTTTCTAGAACTTTTCTTTTCATGTCCGTCCATGTTATAATACTCCCCACGGGCAAGTAGTAAAGCCAGTCTTTAGCAACTCCCTTTAATGATAAAGGGAATGCCCGCATCTTAATCTGCTCCTCTATAACACCAGGTGGTTTCATATTTGAACAGACAACGGTGAACTCTTTGAGGTGTTTATAAGACTCTTCACCTGGTAAACCATGAAAATTAAGTAAGAGGTGAATTAATCTTGATTTTAATTCAAATGTTACATTTTCAGTAAAATCATAAAAAGTAATGCATAAAGGTTACTGATTTAAATCAGGAGCAGCCAACTCCCTCAGGGTTCGATTATTGTTTGCCATAATGACTTCTTCTTACTCAGAATCATTAAAAGAATCCAACAAATCCACAGCCAAATTAAGCCCTAGAGATGTAGTAGATGGTTGTTTTCCCTTTTGTATTCTGATTTTTTTTCCCAACCTACGTGCATGCAGTCTTATCAACCTCAGGATCGAAAATCAAATCACCTGTACGAGAAGAATGAGGCATAAACTAGCAAAAATACCAAAAAATAAAATAAAATAAACTCAAAAAGAAACAAATAAACCAATGCCAATTCTCGACAACGGCACAAAAAATTGACATGTGTTGAGCCTGTAAAATAATAAATTTCTACTCACAAAAATATTTATTCGAGTATAATAGTAAGTAGAGTTGTCTCCATAGGGATTAGAGGGAAAATTTGTCTCTTTTCAAGTAAAAATTAACTGGCGGTTTTGAAAAATTAAAACTAAAATAAATAATCAACATGAATAAGAAGAATTAAACTAAGGGCAAATTAAATTCAAATAAAAAAATAAACAAGCTCTAACTAAGATTATAATTTTGGAAGTGGTTCATACAACTGCTCATCGATGCAATAATTATTTCATCTATTCATTAATATACAGGTTATAATTGTCAAACACACAATGACAACCAAATTTTCCTTACGATCTCGATACTTAAGGTGCACTTGTTAACTACTTTCCTAACCTTGAAACAACCCTAGGTACATTTGTAAAATTTAATTTCTTGATTGCATCAGAAATTAGAAAAGTCCTATTCTAATCAACAAACACACTAACATGATTTATTTAAATTAGATTATATATTTCCCTAACATGAAATTAATCACGCTAGTCGCCACTAATTTAAAATAATTAAGCAAGTACGAATTTAACTATCTTATTTGGCAATAGTTTGTTAAGTTGAATTAAGTATTGGGCATCCTTGATTTTCAAACAACAAAACCACCATGAGAAATTAAGTCAGAAAACATACGAATACTAATGAATAAAAGAAATAGATAAAACAATTAGATCTCACAGTTGTAACTGAATCAAATCCTTCGTTATCTCTTGATTAGAAAAAGAAGAAATTAGTTACTCTACATTGAGAATAACCCAGGCAATTCCATTAATAAAAGTTGCATGAATATTGGACAATAGAAGAAAAACAAAGGAAAAGAAAAAGACAAAGGGACAAGCTTTTTGCTTCTTGCCCAAGACTCGTCATTTGCCATCCAAAATCGTCTTTTGGCAGCACTAATCAGTTGGGAAAACCCGCCGCAACTATCTCCTATTCTTTGCCTACTTTTTTAGCTACGAATAACAAACTCCTAAGGAAAAAAGAAAACTACAAAAGATAATGTCTCTGTTTCTTAATTAATTTCTATAACTAATAAAGATAACTTCCAAATCTTCAACCAAATGCTGTCCAGAATTTGACTCGAACTTGGAAATTTCAGTGCGCAGAAAATTCTCAAGCCTTTTAGATTTTAAAGCAGGTCCTAATTGTGCCACCACCAAATTAGTTCATAGCATGCTGGAAAATTGTCCCTTTAACTACTTTTTCACTACATCCTTCTACAATTAACGTTAATCACCAAATATAAGTAGAATTTACCCAATAATGCAATATTTAGCAAATATCAAGAGAAAGTATTCACAAATTTAATAGCAATCATGTATCTTATCAACACAAAAACAAAATAATGAAAAAAAATTTCACATTTGGTCACCGCAGACACTGACTAATTGATGCTTGATCTTCTCAAGTGACACTACAACATGATTCATGCTGGTCCTATCTCTTGGACGTTCGTTGCAGCAGCTCAAAGCTAATTCCAGGGTCAGATAAATGCTCCCCAACTTCTCTGAAAGATACTCATCTTCTGGCGAGAGTAGGTTGGCATCTATAGTCTGTGTTGTCCTAGTGTGAAGTGAATCTTCTATCCAACTCTTTAGGCTTAGATCGCCAACAAATATTTGATCACTAGGCTTCATTCTTGAAAAAGTTTCGATCAAAACAATTCCAAAACTATATACATCACTTCTTGTTGATACCAAACCTCCTGCTCCATATTCTGACAAAAATAGCAGTATCAATGAAATTGATAGAAGAGCACGTAAAAGAAATAAAAATAATAGTTGAGAGGAAATAGAAACTTAACCTGGTGCAATATAACCTAGAGTTGCAAGGGTCTTGGTGTGCAAATTACTGTCTTCTTGACTCAAAAGTTTTGAAAGACCAAAGTCACTGACATGAGCAACCATACCTTCATCGAGCAAGATGTTACTAGGCTTGATATCACAGTGAACCACTGGTGTCGTCTAACCATGGTGGAGATACTCCAATGCATTAGAAACATCTATCATTATGCTCATTCTTTCTATTAAATTTAAATAATGATTGTGAGAGTACAACCATTTCTCAAGACTCCCGTTAGGCATATACTCATACACCAAGGCTTTGAAGCCATGGTTAGTACAACTGCCAATCACTTTGGTGAGATTTCGATGGCGAAGATTGCGTAGTACCTCACATTCTGAAACAAAACTATCGTGTGTTCCTTCTAATTGCAATTTGAAAACTTTCACTGCCACCTGAGTCCCATCTATTTGGGTACCTCTATAGACTGATCCAAAACTCCCTGTGCCAGGTAAATTACTCTCATTGTAGCCATTTGTTGCTCGTAAAAGTTCATAATATGAGAACCTTTCTGCTTTTCCCAGAGGCTTCCAACTTACTGCTGTTGGAACATTATTCTTCCTTCGATATCTTAGGGATATAATTGCTACAGCTATACCTAACACTAGATATATCACTTGCAGTACTTTCTTTTTAGTTGATCTGTGAAGAGGTAGGGGGCTACAAAGAGGGACAAGAAACCTTGGAGCACCACAGAGTGCAGCATTAGACATGAATGATTGACTTGTGAAGTTCTTGAAGGGACCACCAGATGGAATTTCACCGCTCAAATTGTTAAAAGAAAGGTTGATGTAGCTGAGATAAGAAAGTGCTTCCATGAACTTTGGGATCACACCGGATAGATCATTATGGGATAAGTCCAAGTATTGCAAGCTTAGCATGTTACCAACTGAGTTGGGAATTGATCCTTCAATTTTATTTTGTGCCAAGGAAAGGTTAAGTAAATTCTGAAGACCTGCAATTGAGCTTGGACTGTTTCCTGAAATGTCATTTGCTGACAAATTTAAACTTGTTGCTGCCTTCAAGTTTTGCATTTCTTCAGGAAGTGAACCACTCAAAGAATTTGAGGACAAATCTAGTTTCAGAAGATGACTAAGGTTCCACAAGTTAGCAGGTATGCTAGAGTTCAATAAGTTTTGGTCAATAAGGAGATACCCCAAAGAAGTAACATTACCAAGGCACGAAGGAATGGCCCCTGAAATCTGATTTTGACCCATTGTTACTATGTACAAGCTACTCATGTCACAAAAATGATGTGGCGGAGGACCACTCAGTAGGTTATTTTCTAGATTTAATGCTTGAAGCTTTTGCAAACTTTTGAATGTGTATGGGACTGATCCAGTCAAGTGATTTCCGTACAGACTCAAAAGTAATAAATTGCTCAAATATCCAAACCAATCTGGAATGCTTCCCATGAGTTCAGATTCAGAAGCAAAAATTTTCTCTATGGAATGAGATAGATTCCCAATAGATTTAGGTATGGAGCCATTGAAAGAGTTGTCATTCATGCCTAAGAATTCAAGATATTTGCACTTGGTCAAGGAACTGATGAAGCTCAATTCCAATATGGAAGGTTCACAAGTAAAATAATTCTGTCCCAGATTCAAATGTTCAAGCAATCTTAGATCTCCTAGGGAGTCAGCAATCGGACCACTAAATTTGTTTCTAGCAAGATTTAAGTAATATAGATTAGAGGCATTTGAGATGGAGGCCGGTATTACTCCATGCAGCTTGTTGCCACGAGCGGACAGAACTTCCAAGTTTGGTAATCTTTGGCGGTTGCTTAATGGAAGATTGCCGGAAAGAATATTGTCATTCAGTACAACAACTAGTAGAGTTGATATGTTGAAGAGTTGAGCTGGTATAGATCCAGTTAAGCTAGCTTCCTCTATCCAGAGTTGTTTCAGTCTATGCAGATTACAGAATTGTTCTGGTATTGTTGCTGCCAGAGCATAGTTTACAAATCTTAAGACAACATAAAAATATCCAAACAATCTGATGCCGAAAATGGATGGATGGCATACAAATTAATTAACGGAGAGTTAAATTTTGGTATAAGAAAATCATATTAGTTTAAATGGAGTAGACACATAATCTAAAACTAATATGAGATAAATATGGTAAAAAGATAATAATTAGATGATAAAATCATCTACTTGACTATTATCATCACTTGGCTGGTTATGACGCACTCCTAGATGTCAATCTTGATCTATAAGTGTAAGTTCATTGATTAGTTGAATCAATGATAATTTAAGAGTATTTAACTTATATAAATTTTATTTATTAAGAATTATAACTTATATTTATTGTCAACGTGTATGAGAATCTAATGGGTAAATACATTAAGAATTTCTTTAACTACATTAAAATAAAGGATTAATCTTTTATACAGTGACAGTGTATATACCATCATCATTGGATGCATGAAAACTCATCTAAATTTCAATTTAAAATCCAAATTTTGATCATGTGCCGTGCATCAAACCACGATACTGTTAATGTATATAAGATTTACTCTAAAACAAATTCAAGTGGAGACTTAAAGATAAGTTTTTATAACTTGTACTTGAGAAACTTGTAGTGAAAGTAGGTTTAAGTATTCCAATACCATAGTTATATTAGAATAAGGAAGTTAACTCTTATTGGAAACTGGTTTCCAATTTTCATAAGGATTTGAATAACCTATTTGTCTATATATATCCTCATAACTTATGCTAGCAAGACAAATAAACACAAAACAAATTGTGTGTGACTAACTCTGTGTTACATAAATTAATCAAACAACGATCTACCAAAATAATAAAAAATTTTAAATTTTTTGCTGCATATATACTCGTGTGATTTCTTATACGAACCACGTTAATTTTAGTATGTGATTCATTATTCGTACTAGTTCTTTTTTTCTATTAAATTATTAGTCCTTTATATCTCAAATAATCGGCCTGATACCCAAATAAAACACCTCTAAATTAATCGCTGGTTTACATTTCTAATCCGCTTGTGAGTGAATTTTTTATACCATAGGTAGATTATGTAATTGAAAAAAAAAATCACTTCGAATTGTAGCATATTATGTAGACAATAGGATCTTCAATCACTTAGTTCGGCCCCTCTAGATACTTAGATACAGTTCATTTTATAAAGAGTAATGGGAATTGTACGGTCCATACCTCTAAAATTGTTAACGCCAAGATATAGCTCCTCCAGCGCTGTCAAGTTTCCAATTTCATTTGGTATGGTTCCAATAAACTGATTGATAGACAAGGATAGCATTTGAAGCTGTGAACAGTGGAACCACGTTGATGGTATTTGACCACCTAACTTATTATCCGATAGGTTAAGCCACTTGATTCTTCGAGGAGGGGAGCACATGTCAGCCGGAAGGCTACCAGACAGACTATTACTCAGAAATGAAATAATTTCCAATGACGAGATATTGAAAATCTTGGATGGCACTGAACCTGAAAGATAATTATATTCAATGCTTAATTTCTTCAAGCTTTGCAGATTCCCAATCTCTATTGGAAGTTTTCCAGACAGAGAATTGAATGACAACGACAATGACTTCAAAGTCGATACGTTACAGATAGCAGGAGGGATAACACCTGTGAATGAATTGTTTGCATGCGACAGGTATTGGAGATTTTGGAAGGAACTTAACCAAGAGGGAACCTTTCCACTGAGATTGTTGATGGTCAAGTTTAGGACTTTCAATCTGCCCAAGTGAGATAGTCCTTCGGGTAATTCTCCATGAAAATTGTTTCTGCTCAAATCCATGGAAATAAGAAATGAGAGATTTCACACCTGGGGGTGAATAGTGCCAGTAAGGCCCATGTTTGAGATATTGAGGGCAATCACCCTGTGGTGACGAGAGCTACAAGTAACTCCTATCCATTGACAAACTGAGGACGAAACAGACCAGTTGTTTACTAACATTTGATAAGGCTCTGAAGTGATCTGAGATCTTAAAGCAAGGAGGGCAGACTGATCAGTGGCAATGTCCCTGGTGCTGATGCCTAAACAGGCTAAGAGAAGACTTAGGAACAGAAATCCAAGGTGGAAAAATTAGTGCATTTTTTTCATGCTAGCCATGTATTAGTTGAGATTCGGGAGTCGCAGTGGTAATGAATTGCTAATCAGGCTGCTCGTAAAACAGGAGCATTAATCTTTTTTTCCACAATCGGTAACAGTTTACTCTACACTTACTCCTACTCCTACTATAACCTATCCTAAGAAGGGGATCCAATTAGATTATTGAAGGGACCGACGAGAACTGAACCACCATCGGACCAAACGGGTGCACTACACATCTATCTGGATTGAATTTTTTGAAGAACCACATAAAGTGGCAATTGGTGGGAAGCAAAGTTTCATGGTGTCCCACCAAAGTCTTAATGGCTTGATGATAGCCACCAGCCCAAAGACTAGTGGTTAACAGGAGCATTAATCAAGAGTGGAAAAAAATACATCGTACATCGTTGAATTTGTCAACTTACTAACGAATATTCGTTCAATAACGTTGTTGTTCAAGTTTTTAAGTCACTTTATCTAAGCATTAATTGCTAATGGGTGGCTGAAAAGATGCCCCATTTATTCTACGAGTGTCCCCGTTAGAATTTAGAAGGATATAGCAGGATAGTCATCCTTGCGCCATCACCTCATGGTTGGCCTGAGAGGCACGGTTCTCATTTAAGTATTTAAGGTTGAAAGTGAGATACTCTACACTCAACAAAATAGAGAAGCAAAGCACCACACAAATTTTGAGGGCCTGTTTATTCATGCAAAACTTTTCGGTACTCATCATGTATATATGATGCACGGTGTTAAAACCGACCCGGCAAAGAACCGTGTGGATGGGTCACTAGTTTAACCAATAGTGTGGTAGTTGAAGCAGTCGGCCACTAAAATACTATTTATAAATACATAAGATATATTAATTTTCTTAATATACATATGATACGAACAAGAGGAGCCACTGGAGCCATGATACCAACCCTTGTTCGTGTCATTCATTTCCATCCAGATTTGAGGACAAATCCTGCTCAAGTGAAGGGGACTGATGTGGAGTTGGTATCATGGCTCCAGTGGCTCCTCTTGTTCGTATCATTCCCCCCCTCTTGAAAGCAATTTGCCCACAAATTGAAGCACGAATGGTGACAAGACGAGTTACATGCCTTCGACTCAATCTTGTTATGATGGCTACAGATGGCATCCAATGCAAAGCCCATGGGCAAAGTTGGAACATAACCCTTGTCGAACCTTGAATCTCACAAACCATCTTCAATGTATGCTCAACTTGATCGTTTGTGGTCATGAGGTAAGGGTCCTCAAAGTGGTATGAAGTGTATCCCATGAAATCGAGCTCCGGCTCGAACACACTTGCAAGGCACCAAGGCGGATTTGGTGATGTTGGAGCTTCATGTGGACTAAGAGCAAGACGAAAATCATAATGGTCATTGAGGTACTTGTTCTTTAAACGAACCCTTGGTACACAACGATCCCCAAAATGTGGAGTGTTCCCTTCAAGACGAGCTCGAATCAACTCCCCTTTGGTGTGGACTGATTTGAGTTGATATTGTTCCATAAATGGATACCAACGGGGTTTAACTCTTGGAGTGCCAACTTTATGTAGGCTTGCAAAGTCTACAATTGATTTTGGAATGGAACACACCAAGATCAACTCAACTTGCCTTTGCTTGATCTGTATAAAAGTAGAAACACTAAACAAAGCGAAGGTAAGTTCGTTAGGAAAATAATAGGCCTTCACCAGGTTGCTCAAGATCAGCCCACTTTCTCTCATTTCTTCCTTTTTTACCACCCATCTCATTAGATTTTTCCATCTCTTTTTCTAGTTCAACAGCTGACCCTTTCATCTCATTACTTTCAACTCCCTCGGGTTTTACCTCTTCAGGGACAATTCCCTCATCTAGCTTTTTCTCCATTCTATAACGCTCAATCTCACTTTTCATGCATGCTAGATCAATACAAAGTTGGTCATAAGTAAGTGATACAAGTGCAAGACGACGACTATTAAATAAGAAGGAATACTTATTAGTATGTCCGTCATATTTAATTTCTCGCCTCGACATCCATGCTTTGCCCAACAACACATGTGTCACTTGAATTGGGATTACATCACACAACACCTCATCCACATATTTGCCTATTTGAATAGGTACAAGTGTGTACTTAGTAACCCAAACATTACCATGAGTGCTCGTCAACTTGTATGGTTGAAGATGATCAATGGTTGGAAGATTTAATTTCTCAACCATGATAGCACTTGCAAGGTTGACTTCACAACTCCCATCAATGGCCAAGCTACAGATTTTATCTTTGACACCACAACGAGTATAAAACCAACCAAGCAACTGAGATTTGACGATGTCCAATTGCTCATCTACACCACGTAATGCCACTTCTTTGACTCCCTTAGGATCAGGAAGCCATTGTGGTGGGCTAACTTTTATGCGTCTTGTACTCGCCATGAATGTATGAGGGAACCTGCAAAAGTTAGTAACAAAACCGAAGATATTGTTTTTCACGCTCTCTTACGTGTTTTCTCTCGACACTCGTGTATCACTCACAATTACTCACTCTAATGGACTTACCAAATACCTTTACCTGTTGGGTTAGGTAGTTGAGAAAGGCCGCTCAAGTCCAATAAATGTCACCAACTTCTTCCTCAAGAGTAATCACGGAGATGTAGGAGAAAGTGTAGGAAAGTGTTCCTAAAAACTAGGAGAAAATATAGGAGAAAGTGTAGGAGAGTGTTCCTAAAATCTAGGAAGAGAATATAGGAGAGTTTCCTAAAGTGGATGAGAGAATATAGGAAAGGTCCTAAAAATGGATGAGAGAATTTTAGGTGAGTTTCCTAAAAATGGATGAGAGAATTTAGGAAAGTTTCCAAAAAAATGGATGAGAGAGTTTAGGAAAATTTCCTAAAAATGGATGAGAGAATTTAGGAAAGTTTCCAAAAAAATGGATGAGAGAATTTAGGAAAGTTTCCTAAAAATAGATGAGAGGCTTTAAGAAAGTTTCCAAAAAAAAAATGGATGAGAGAGTTTAGGAAAGTTTCCTAAAAAATGGATGAGAGAATTTAGGAAAGTTTCCAAAAAAAAATGGATGAGAGAGTTTGGGAAAGTTTCCTAAAAAGGTAGGAGAGAGAGTGTCCAAGTGAGTACAAAGAAACCCTAGCCGCAAGTAGACATCCTAGCCGCAAGTAGAAAACCCTAGCCGCAAGGATAACCCTAGCAAGATAAGGAAACCCTAGCAGCCGTCACGTTATTGTTCTTGCTGCCCAAGCGACAACCAACTAACGAGACAGATTTGGGAGCAACGTTGAAACACCAACAACCAGAATTTTTGATGCAACAAACGACTCAAACGCAAGAAACAAGTTGTGGACAGAAATTATCAACAAACTAGACACAACACAAAGGAGATAACACACCAACAGATTTTTGTGTCGGATGAACAGTAACGTGAACAGTAGCGGATGAACAGTGACGTTTTTTTTTTTTTTTTAAAAAACAAGGCAGCGGAAACAAGGAAAACTAAGACAAAACTACGGATATAACGGAAGATACCTCCACCAAAGCTCTGATCCAACTGATACGTTCCTCGATCAACACGTTTCGAGACACGTAGCACGTTTGCCCAAGGATCTAGCGAGGATGTCCAACGCTTGGAATTGCGGGATCTAGAACCAAACGGACGACACGATTTGATTCAAGACGGTAGACGACACTCCAATGAAGGTGAATACTCCAGGGGAATAGGTCGGTAGAACAATCTAGGACAGGACGCAAGACTGCTCAAAACCCTTGCCAAAGCAAGTAAAGGGGGTCGAATCTCTCTCTCAAGAAGAATCGAAAATATGCAAAACTTTATTGATAAAACGTCTACCTAAAAACCTTACAAAGCAAGCCTATTTATAGGCTAAAGTGACTGAAACTGATACGTTCCTCGATCAACACGTTTCGAGACACGTAGCACGTTTGCCCAAGGATCTAGCGAGGATGTCCAACGCTTGGAATTGCGGGATCTAGAACCAAACGGACGACACGATTTGATTCAAGACGGTAGACGACACTCCAATGAAGGTGAATACTCCAGGGGAATAGGTCGGTAGAACAATCTAGGACAGGACGCAAGACTGCTCAAAACCCTTGCCAAAGCAAGTAAAGGGGTCGAATCTCTCTCTCAAGAAGAATCGAAAATATGCAAAACTTTACTGATAAAACGTCTACCTAAAAACCTTACAAAGCAAGCCTATTTATAGGCTAAAGTGACTGAAACCCTAAAGGGACTAGGAAAGGGAAAAGTCGGCCCATGGTCTTGGGACAAGATGGGCCGGCCCATGCTCTTACTTAAACACTAATCAATTGCTAAATAACTACTAAGGCCTAAGGCCCTTTCGGCCAACTCATTTGGAGGCCCACTTGACTCTTCATGGGCTTGGGTCATGGTGTAGATAACTCGATTAAAATCCTTCAAGCCTTCAATATCTCTATGGACTCCATGTTGGTTTTGGACAATTCGAACAAGGGCTTGGATGGATTCTTTGAAGAGCTTGGCTCGTGCACGTGTGACTGGGCCCAATGGAACTCGGATTGGGTCATTACTTGGGCTAAGGTCCGTGCACACATCAGTCCCCTCCACTTGAGCAGGATTTGTCCTCAAATCTGGATGGAAATGAATGACACGAACAAGGGTTGGTATCATGGCTCCAGTGGTACCTCTTGTTCGTATCAACATATAATTTATAAATAAAG